TGCTACTGCTATGGGCAGGCGTGTCGTTTAACATCAGCTAAACGATTTGTACGTCCCGTCACTTAGTGTCACAAAAAAAATCTAAACTTCATTTATATAATTTTACTTTATATACCTAATTTATTTTCATTATGATCACAAACTCTATACATTCAAGAGCACATCATGTTTCAAACTTTGGATCGTTCTTATCGTGAGCAGCATAGAGTTAAATTTAAATCTTTATCATCAAGCTGTACGTACTCTTGATCCACTAGGTACATAAACACACAACGGTTCTTTAACGACATATTAACTGTTTTAAATGAATTTGAAATTGACTGTAAAACGTTAATTGTTTTTTAAATTATATTTTTCGCTAAACTTTTTGTATAGCATATACGAAAAAAATCCAATTTTTATTTATTTATTTTATCTACTATTTTATCGGATCTAAATGGCGTAAATTTGTTATTTTTTCATGGGACTTCTAAAGATCCCGAAATGCTGGTTTGTTTGAAAAAACACATTTTTTTTTTTATTTGGCAAAATTTACTAGTATACGCAATTGAAATATATTACAGTAAGAACGTAATTACAGTAAGAGCTCTCTTTAATATCCTGCCAAAGCCTGTAAAAGTTAAGAATACACCAAAAATTAAAAAAAACACTCACTCATCAAGGCAAATATAACACTAAATATAAATAAAAAATATTTAATAACAAGGCACAAGTTAAAAAAATGCATCTCACTATTGCTTGTGAAATGTTTACAAATTTTCTTCTGGAGATTTTAATAACGATTTTTTTAACTCTGAAAAGGTGTATAATAAGAAGTTCAAGCGAGATTTTTAACTTACCTTACCTTACCTTAGAAAAATTCGTAAGGTCCGCTGGTTCGTTCCGTGTCTTAGTTGGTAGGTGTCGGTTCGTATCCGGCCGGAGCGAAGGAACTTTTTCTGAGTATTCGATCTTTGTATTAATAATTATAACAAACCAGTGAAGTAATTTCACAAAAAATAATTGAATTCATTAAATCAATTCAATAAAATTTTTAAACTAACATCCTTAATTCTTTCCTGTCCTTAATTCTTTCCTTAATCCTTTTTTTCTGAGTGTTTTTTCTGAGTGTTCGATCTTTGTATTAATAATTATAACAAACTAGTGGAGTAATTTCACAAAAAATAATTGAATATCAATTCAATAAAAATTTAATTAACATCCTTAATTTAAATTTCATTACATTCACTCTCTATTTCACATTTTGCTGTAACATCAAAATACAAATTAAAATATTTTAGGCATGTTTAGAAGCACATCAAGTTTGACATTTTGAATTGTTTTATCACAAGCAATATAGAGTTGAATATAAACCTAAGTATTTTATATGAGGCATTTGTTGAGGTATTTTTGAAACAACAACAAAACTATTTAAAACAACAAATACCTATTCTGCCCTCGTAACGAAAAAAGGAACAACTATGCGTACTTTATACAGCAGTTGTGTCTTTCTACGTTCCGCGGGTAGTATTACAATAAAAATTCAATTTTTAACTACACATTTTTGAACAGAATTCCACTTCCAAATAGATACTCCGATTAAGATTTTTTTATTTATAATATTAAGTGTCGGGACGAATAATTCGTGCGTCTGATGGTAAGCTAAACGCCTGTCCATGACAGTTGCAGTGCCACTCAGAGTTATAAATCGCAAAGATCTGATGGGCACTGCCACTGCGCCCATCACCCTGACACATAAGTTGAGAAGTCCCATGTGCCTATAATTTCACTAGCACCCTTACACTTCAAAACCGGAACGAAGTAATGCTAACATTACTGCTGACATAGGTAATGTGGCAGTTCTACCCTGTTCAACTCTTTCACAATGACTCTACTGCAACGAAACCTAAAAATGAACATGTTAACTATGAGAAGGCGATTAATTTTGACATCTGCACTATACCACCTTTACCACAAAAAAGTCTCATAAAATTTTACAACTCAAACCAATTGCAAAACCATAAAGTATGCCAATTTTTTTTTCACGTCAATATTTAGTCGGGCCTTTTAAATACCATTAAGCTAGTGGAAAACAAAAGAAAAATCCTTTAGTCGGTGAGGTATTAGACGATAAATAATAGGACGTGGCCATAAAATAAACAAGAGATAAACTTTCAAAGACACCGAAATTGTTGTTTGAAAGAAGGCCGAAGATAATTTTATAGCATTTGTTTTAGGGTCATTGCAGGTTAACGAAAATGTTTATCAGAGTGCATAGTTTTATTTTATTGGTATGTGTTTGGTTTATTACGTGCTATTGAAGTCTACATGGCCAGTATACATTCTATCGTGCTAATATTCTTTTGCACGTTGTATTTTCGGATTTTTAACCTAGTGAAAATATGTACCACTAACACATTTGTCTAGTAAATTGACGGGACAAATTTTTAGAGCGAATGAAAATATGGGAAGGATAAGATAGATGTCCTTAAAAAAGGGTAAAATTAAAAGAACCAAGAGAAAACAGGCGTATATTAAGGCATTTTGCCAATGCTTCTATACGTGTAATCTGTGGGTCAACTTTACGCAGAAGACAATCAACGCCCTGCGCGTTCAGTACAACAACGCGTTCAGGGTTTTATTGGGTTTGCCACAGTACTGCAGCGCATCAGGCATGTTCGCGGATGCCCACACGGATGGTTTCCATGCTATCCTTAGAAAGAGAGCTGCCTCATTAATAAGTCGTATCCGTTGCGGCACGAATGAGATTCTGCGCGTTGTGGCTGGTAGAGTGGATTGCCCAATCATGCTACATTGCATGAAACTGCATTTAAAACCATGTCGATGACTTATTTGATATTTAATTTAATTTGTTTAATTATTCTATGTTTTTAAGTTGCCTTTTGTTTATTTTAATGTGTGTAAACTTATTGAATTAACTGTAAAATATGGACTGTAGTTGTCTGAATAAATGATTTTTTGATTTGATTTGATTAAGATAATAGTTATAACAACTTTTTTTTATAAAAAACCTACCCCAAAAGTTTGTGGAATTACATCTGTTTGCTAAGTTTTATTAGAGTTGGTTAACAGAAAGTGAGTGAAATTTAAACAAACGAATTCATCCCCTAATTTGCCACCTTTGGAGGTGAATATTTTCTTCTGATTTGAATGAGACCACAACTGAGGTACCTGCTTTCCAACAAAAAATAATCATGGAAATCGGTTCTCAAAATTTGAATGTCGGAGTAAGCTCGTAACGTACTAAAAAAAAATACAGCTGGGGCCTTGCCATGAACTCTTATTACAGTTCGGTATAGGTTCGTAACGACAAAAAAGGGGAATGGTTATCACCAGTACACTTCATGTAGCGCTGTCTCACAACGATTAATTTTAGATCCTAAACGAATCGTAATAAGAGTTTATGGTAAGGCCCCTGAACTGATAACCTGCTCCTATTTTTGAAGTCGGTTAAAAATAATATAATGCATATGCATTATAGTCGAAATCACATTAGTAATGAAACTATTCATTATGGTGAAGATTTCAATTATTTATATTTTCAAACAAACCATTTCGGACCTTTTTACACGTCCAAGAGTCACGGCTACCGTCAGTCTTCAGCCTTTGATAAATTAAAAATTACTTGCTTCAGTAACTATATTTAAATTAGTTATTTCTGTAACTATGGTTCAGAATAAGGTGGTTTGCATTAGTATTAGACATAACTGGTTGATGACTGTACCATCTCAGGCAGCCGCGTTTATGGAGACTGGTAAATAGCACAAAACGTTGATTTGTTTGAAAACACAAAAAGTATACGAAAAATAAAGTCGATATCGAAATCGCACTTAATTATTACTGTTCTAGAATTGTTATGAAATTAGCAGAATGACTCTAAAACAATTTTATTGTTGTTTACTAAGCTATAAAAAAAATTATTTGCGAACGCCCGTGAAATGTGTTCAAAAGTTTACGCACGCGGCTGTACAAAGTTTTCCCGCGTGATGTCACGCGAGAGTCAGAAAGCGCGGGAAACTCGGCAAACTTCAGCGGCTACGGCTAGTTTGTCGGTCCGCCCCGCGCCCCGCCCCTATCGCTGTCACGCTCGCAAGGTGTTTCTCGCTCACACCTCGCGGCTAACCGCACGCCGACGCCGGCAATATTCTTTGTTTAGTTGTTTGCAATCCTTTTTTTCTTTAACACACTAAGTCGCGAATTTTTAATAATTTACGTTTATATTTTGTTTACATGCAAGTCTAGAGGCTGTCTGTCACTTAGTACGGTTTGTAGGATTCTACATGAAACACGTATTAGTAAATCTCACTTTGTTAATAGAAAACTATTATTGTTAAGTAAGGTTTTAAAGAGAAAATAACTTGCAAACTTAAGTAACTTTTATCTGTATTTCAAATTGTATGTATTGGATATTAACCCAGTAAGTACACGCAACCCAGGTAAAAAAATTTTATACTCATTAAACGCCATAACGAACTGTGTGAAACTTTCCAAATATAAAATTATTAAAAGTGTCAGTGATGCCACCCTATCTTTGCAAATCGGCATTCCTGGCGTGCCTCCGCGATAATGAAGTGCCACCCCGCGAAAGCGTTCGACGCTCTCCCGCCAACTCCAAACACGAAATTCATAATTTTTCATGAGCTCGTTGATAGGTTTTCGCACCGGCCGCGGTTTCCCGCCGCCCCGCGGCCTAATTACCGCCGCCTCGCGATACGTCACCGCGGTGATTCAAAAAAATCCACCCATCCCTCTCCCACCAGCCGCCCGCGTGCGGCGGCATCCCACTCCGGCGAGCATTTTTATAAAAACGCAGACACCAACCGCGACCGTCCCGCTCGTTCCCACTGCGGCTCCGCGTTGCCCACACCCTTCGTCTCCTTCCCGCTTTTTACGAGACGTAGGGGCCCGCCACCCGGGTGGGGGCGGCGACCGCGCGAACGCAAATATTGACCATCGGAAAAAGTCGCATCGTATCGCAGTCATCAGTCGAAACTGAGTCCTCGTGAGCACGCGTTCTCGCCACGACTTCGGTGCGCGTCGTGCGTCTTCGGCTTGCGGTCTCGACGAGTCACAGCCCGTTTATTTTTCCGAGTCCCCCGCCCGGCGTCTTCGTCCGCGCCCAACAAGTGGTGGAGACGCTCGCTCGCACTCGCGGCTCACACGGCGTCTCGCGTCCATACTTCGCACAACTTTCTGGAGCGCTCCGCGCGTATTTTGCCGCTTCGCCGCGAGTTTGAAATTGGATCGCGTGCTTAAAACTTTTATCCAAGTGTATAAAGACTACAGTGACGTGACAGCAGACTTTAGTGGCGTGTCGAGTGGTGTTCTGAGGGTAGACTGGAGTCGATGCACCTCCCGCACGCAAGTCCTACTGCCCCCACCATGGCGGACGTTTATTCTCATATCTATGAGTACTACCGGCAAAGTCATGGGGAGTTGGTGCAAACTGGATCACCAGCTGTGCTTTGTTCAGCGCTACCAGGACATTGGCGATCGAACAAGTCGCTTCCAGTGGCGTTCAAAGTAGTTGCTTTGGACGACGTACAGGATGGAACTCTAGTGACGATCAAAGCTGGCAATGACGAAAATGTGATGGCAGAGCTCAGGAACTGCACAGCGGTGATGAAGAATCAGGTGGCGAAGTTCAACGACTTGCGGTTCGTGGGGCGCAGCGGGCGCGGCAAGTCGTTCTCGCTGACCATCACCATTAGCACCTTTCCCAGCCAAGTCGCCAGTTACATCAAAGCCATCAAAGTTACTGTCGATGGACCTAGAGAACCTAGAACTAAACAAAGTGAGTAATTACGCATTGTTAACAATATTATAATTAATACTTTGAACTATATTTTATGAGCCTAAAATTGCAATTATAAATTAAATGATACTCTTAAAACTTTTTTTAAACTGAGGAACTTTACGAACATCATCAGATTATTTAACTTTCAGTCCTGATAAAACTCATAAAGAAAACATAACCAACCATGTGGAGCATTAAAAGTTCTGAAATCGTAATCGTGGAACAATAAAATGTATAATTGTTTCAAAGTTTTCGCGTTGCGCACACGCTGGTCCCTGGCGCGCCGCCAGTCCGAGACCGATTTTGCGGCGCCGCAGCATTCAACCACATTCACGGATTTTATTTTAATCTTTGATATTTTAAAAGTAATAAATCGTCTGTTGGTGATTACTATGACAGCTACATATCCCATAATCTCCACAAAATGTTCTGAATTTATTCAAACTAATGTCAAATTTGCCAATTTGGTAAACATGTTGTTGGTAACATTTGTTGGTAGTTACTTGGAAATAAGAGCTTTACCAATTTGGGTGCGGAGTAGGTACTATACATAGAAGCTTCCTACAGTTACCAAAACATCGATAATACTAATGAAAATGTTATATTAAATACTAGGTCAAGTAAAATATAGAAATAAGATTTTATACGTACGAAATTATGATTTCTTAGCAAACATTAAAACAACACAAACACTCCCGAATAAACACATCTAAGCAATTGTAGCGAACGTGAGAAGCAGTCAATCACAAAGACATTAATTACTCCGTTTAATCTCCAAACTACTCGAAGAATTATCGTTAAGGCGGCGACGACGAAAATAAACCGATTGTCTGCAGGAGAGTGAACTCGGGAGAACATTAAGAGATGTTTTGACTTGGTCTTATAAATGGTTATTGGTGTTTACAAGACGAACATGATTTTAAACTTACTCGCTGTAAAATAAGACGTGATGCGGGTGTTGCTCTTCCTTTTATAGAGGGAGAATAATTAAGTGTAATTGAAAATTCCAATAATAAAGTGCAGTCTGTCTTCGAAGTGACACGATAGTTGTGTTTTAAAATTTACGACAATCGCTCTAAGTGCATCATAAAACTGACCAAAATCAAAACTTATTAGACGTATGTACAACGGAGTAAAAACAAGAAAATACAAATAAGTAATGAAACAAACATGGCAAATGTGGAAAGCATGACAGAGAACTACGGAGCGTAAAGCCTTGGAAGATATCGTGTCACCGCCTGTAATAGTCAAGAACACTAAAAATTAACAAGCACATACATCTGACCAAAAACAACAATAAATATTTATACATACATAACACATAAGACACATGTTAATAGAAATTTGCATCTTGAAATTTTTGTCAATGTATCTCATTTAAACCAAGCCGCAAGAAATGATCGGAATGCTAATAAAGACGCAACCCAATCAAGAAATCACACAAGAATCATAATGTTTGACACCACAAATCTATTTTAGAAGTTACAACGTTCACCGAGACCGTCTGTATAAACAAACGCCGCCCAAACTTCGGCCAATCATAAAAAGACAGTATGCGGAAAAACTAACATCCTCGGGTAATAAAGATCAAAGGCAAAAGGGTAATATAGCGATCAATGGCGACGCTTGATGGTTACAGCGCACTAATTAACGCAGAGAGTTAAACAAACATCATATAATTAGAGACGTGGATATTCATGTCGATTGTGACGTCTGTACTTGCTATTGACGACTTTGATAAAAATGAGTAGAAGCCGAACTGACAACCATATTAAGACTAAACTAGTATAGGACGACGATGGACTGACGACCAGAGAGAGGCACAGGATCGGGAGAGTTGCGTGCTCAGGGAGAGGCTTATGTCCATCAGTAGAGCTCCTTTTAAAAGAAGAGTTCGTCCAGGGAAGTACCTTACCTATTTCTGCCGATAAGCAGTAATGGGGCACATTACTGTGTTTCGGTTTTTAAGGGTCAGGGTACTGGTAAAATTACAGGCACCTGGGACTTGTCTACTTATATCTATATCTTAGGGTGACAAGCGCAGTGGCATCCCTTAGATCTTTGCGATTTAAAACTCTGAGTGGCACTGCAATTGGTATGGACAGGCGTGTCCTTTAACACCAGTAACATACCAATAAAAAATGTGAATGCGTGTAAACTAATGATGATGATGTCGAAGACAGCTGCTACGGTACTGTATATAGGGACGTCCCACATTTTAAAACTTCAGAAGAAAGACATGCGTCTTCGTTATTCAAAAGTTGATTGCGTTGAAGTGAACCTTCAAATAGCTGAGAAACTTCTAAAGTATCTACATAACTTTCAAAACTCAAGAGAACTTTCTGGAAAACAATAGTCGTATTTAATATATTCGGCACTCGCAGTTCCAGTGGTTACCAAGTTTCATGGTGCGGACTGCGGCCGCGGGCGCGTAGCAGATGTAAACAATCTCGGGCCGCGCCGTAAAGTCCCGTTTGATCTCCCCGCACCACCCCTGCCCCTTCACACGCCGCCTCTAAAATATGGATTTTATGTCCCTGCTGGCTGCTGAAATACCACATCCACACCCAGCGACCCTCATAACCGGCCAACTGACTCATGTCAAGGATTTAATCAGTTCCGACTTGATTTCCTACGTTGTTGGATTTCTGTACATGAAATATCGTAAGGTCTCCAATGTTGCTAATTTACTTTTTTCTAATGTTTGAAATGACTAAAGACCGTAATGATCTTGATAGTAGCTCGAAAGGTAACAACTAGGGTTTTCAGTAGAGATGCAACGAATATTCGGCAACTATTCGGTATTCGGCCTATTCGGCCAGTTTTTTCAGTATTCGGTATTCGGCAGAATATTAAGTAGTATTCGGCCGAATACCGAATACTTAAAAAGTAGCAAATATCTTATAAAAGGGAATAAAAAAAAACAATTTAATCGAAACATTTAATTATCCAACAATCATTAATTGCGAAAACAAGAATACAACATCAGTATTTTTAATATTTAAAATTAATTAAAGGCAAATTGTGGTGAATAAAGACAAGTTTTTCGGCATTTGTTGGTAAGAGACGATTGCGCTTTTCTTCATATACAATACCTGCTTCTGAGAATAGTCTCTCACTGTAAACACTAACACGTACCGCATCAAAACGTGTCCTAACTTGTTAGCGTCGACGTCAATTATACTGGATCACCCGCCGAATATTCGGCGGCCGAATATTCGGTATTCGGCTGGAAGCGCCGCCGAATATTCGGTATTCGGTATTCGGCCAAATCACTATTCGTTGCATCTCTAGTTTTCAGTCTCTTTGCATTTCCGTATCCCGGGAAAAAAAATCGAGACTCCCGGAAAAAACGACATTTCCGAAACTGTTTCAAAAGTAGGTTTCCATTTTTTTTTATACATGATACTTAATGACAAGACCCACAAATCGTGCGCCTAGTGGCAAGCAACACGCCTGTTTGTAACAGGTGCAGTGCCACTCGGACCTTTCATCGCAAAGATCTGAGTGATACTGCCACAGCGCCTGTCGCCCTAGATGTAAGTTGACACGTCTCATATGCCTGTAATACCACCAGTACCCTTGTTCAAAACCGTAACGCAGTAATGATGACGTTACTGCTTGGCGGTAGAAATAGGTAAGGTGACATGTACTTCCATGGACGAACTCTATCACATTGAACTCTACTGCTGCTAAATTTATATGCTAGACATTTAGACAGTCAAAACATGATATTTCAATTAAGTTATTTAAAAAAATTATTGAAGTTATTTTTGCATTTTTATAGTAGGTACGTAAGAAACAAATGGCGTTTAATGCAGTTTATGACAGAGATTTGAGTTTGATACTACCGCTCTTAAATCTCCACAAATTATACTCTACAGCTCATTTCTACAGCATTGTAATGTCCATGTAACTGGCTAAAAAATGGGTGATGGTTTAGATAGATAGATAGATAGATAGAAAATTCTTTATTGTTAGCACCACATTACAATATACAGATTACAGTATACAGGACAAAAGGACAAAAGGTTTAGTCGATTTTTAATACTTTTTAATTAAATACATAATTAAAAATAGCCTGGTAAAAATCCTATGTAACGGGTGACCAAATAGACAACCACAAATTACATCCAAACTCACGAGAGATAAATGTAGGCCATAAAAATATTTCTCCGAGTCAGGGAATCAAACCCGGGACCTTTGTGTGGCAGATTTTAGTCGCGATATTTCCGAGAATGAAAACATTACTTTCGAATCTCGAAAATACCAACAAATTGTCGATATTCGAAATTTCCAGGACTGAAATTCCCGGTATGATAGCCCTAGTGGCAACGTTCATGAAAACTGACATCTTAATAAGAAAATGTATGACTCTGAATTCTTGATTCATTCAAATCAATAAAACTTTAACAATGAACAATCAGAGGGACGAAATAAAGCCGTATAAATGTGGTGTTCGTTATGGGAGACCGTCGCCGCCGTCCGGGTTATGAGCCATAACTCTGATTCAATTTATTTGACACGCGGCCGTCTCTTCCACATTAATTTACGAGTGACAACAGGCTCGCATCTCGTTCAGTTATTTAATGCCCGTTTTGACACTTACGAGTGGTATCTTTCATACATTTATTGTCTATCGGCCCTAGTTTGCCCGCGACGGCTTTTGATTTTAGTTGGAAATTCTAGTAAGCTAATTCCGTGTCTTTATGACAGTCATAAGGATCTTATATCTCTTTTACTTTAACGAACTTGTTAATAAAAGTTTCCTATCGAGTTCCTAGGTTTTCGCGACTGCCACGCTCCTATGGCCACGCTGACATGGTTTTGTTTCAAAAAACAAATACACGCGATAATGTTAGCTGAATCAATACATCCGAAAAAAAATGTACTAAAATCGATAAAAATGTATTCAGAGTTTTCGAAATCTTTTGATTTGTTGAAACAGCGAAAAAAAAAATTTACACGACAGAGATGTTAAGGACCATCTTGTATCAAGATAAATCACAACTTAATAGAATTGGTACAAAGAATTTCCCCTTTCTTATTAACTGTAATAGACAAAATATGACTCAGTAAACAGCCCCAGGTGTTGGTGGGTTTAAATAAAACAAATGTACGCAAAAGAAGTTCTAAAGTTTCATTTAAACTTTCGAACTTTGTCTTCTTTTGTTACCAGCAACTTTTACTAACAAAATAGGAAGTATTGCCTGTTGTATTATATTCGAGTCGATATTATCTCAGATCGAATTCAAAATTTTCCCGTGCTAATACGGTTCATTTTGCTCTGGTCGAGCGGTAGGGACTCTGGCTTTATTTCAAAAATTGTATTTTACAAACGAAATTAAAGCCTTTGATATAAAGCCATTGATATAAAGGATTGATATAAAAAAATCATCGAGATATGTAAAGCACCTATAGAATGCAACGGTTTTCTTTTAAAATTTCGAGATACGTTTCTGTGTTTTTTTTTTCTATCGCGAAAATTTTTAGGAATTGTGCTTTTGCAACATATAATAATCAGTGTATACAATTTTTTTTTCTAAATTCAGTTTCAACACTTTCATTGTTATGTAATATAATAATACAATAATCATATAATATATGTGATATATCCATTTAAAGCCTTTTGAGGGAGTATATGCTCTTAATATTCCCCATGACAGAAAGACTCGGAGAACAGAACTAATTGAATACTGGCATTAAGGAATAGAGCGGCCGTTTCCGAGTTCCACATTTAACTTAATATTGTTCCACTGGTGTTCTTGCCGGGATGCCGCGAGACAGCGCCCGACCATCCATCACTTTAAGATTTGGGTAACTCACGAGATACTCGCTGATCTCCATCGAATGAGCTGTGTTCACAGAAATAAACATCTCTGTGCAAACACTCCCAGTACGTAAAAACGTCAAAGCGCTTTGACTGACTACGAGAAAACAAAGGAATCCTAAACAGATTACGAAACAAGCTCAAAAGTAGGATATCCTCACAAAAAAAAACTCGCAAGATTAAAGAGCCAAGAAGCACGTGTTTACACAACTGAAACAAAGTAGACGAAGTGATCGTAAACTGTTTAATCTGGTAATAAAAACATCGATGCACCTGATCACATCGATTAAGACGGCTGAATTAAATATGCTGTTAAAGCTTTAAATAGACGTCGGCAGTGGCGTCTTCAGTAGCCTATCGATTAAACAAATAAAAATGAGTTTCGCTAGTTGAAAGGCTAAAGGCAACGTGACGTTAGAGCGTCATAAAATCGTACGGCACAGAGGAGCCGGGTAGCGCGGTAGTAAAGTCGTTGTATATACAGCCCCTTGTTATGCCGACGTGCGTGGTAAACACCGCCGTATGTCGCCGCGTTTATGGCCTGCCTTTGTGACTTGCGGACGCAGAAAGACGTTTGTGACATCGCATCGCCAATCGTATCTCATGGAAATAATATTATACAAGAGTTCTTAGGTGTTCGCGATTGTTACACATAAGAAATGAAACTATTTTTCCGGATTTAAATCGCGTATATTTGTTTTTAAATATAAAGCAAATCATACATGCGGATAAGTTGAAGATTCCACGCCAAAACCACAGGCCTCGTGTGAAACCACCAACAGTCGAGCGAGCGAAGACCTGCCGTTTTACCTTACGTGAGAGGTGTTACAGAGAAGATCGGAAGAGTCCTCAGGCGTGCATCTATCAAGACCTATTTCAAGCCCCTGAGGAAGATTTCTCATTTCCTGAGACCCGTGAAACGTAACATTGTATAACGTTTGTATAACACATAACGTTTTACAGGATGCAGGAGTTTACAAGCTTGACTGTGAGTGCGGTATCTCTTATATTGGACAAACGAAGCGAAGTATTTGTACCCGCGACAAAGAACGTATAGCTGATGTCAAACACCGTCGCGTAAACAAGTCTGCAGTCTGCGAGCATGTCATGGATAAACCTACACATTCAATGACGTTTGACAAACCCCAGGTCCTAACAAAAGAAGTCCGTTATCTACCCAGAATGCTGCGAGAGGCCATTGAAATTAAAAAACATCCTAATTTCAATAGGGAAGATGGTTGCTCCGTACTACCAGTTTGGGATCCAGTATTTCCTCTGATGAAAAATCCCAAACAGACGTAAGACTGCAGTACTAAATAATATGTTTTAGTTTATTCTAATTTCTATTATTAAATAATAATAAATTGAACTTAATAAAAATTCATTCAATAAAATAATTTGTAAAACTTAATGTAGCGTAAATTGGAATGTTTTCTTTGTAAAATTAAAATAAGGTATTTAATTAATAACTATAGTGAAAAAATAGGGTGGTTTGCATTAATATTAGACATAACTGGTTGAAGACTGTACCACCTCAGTCAACCGTGACCATGGGACCTGTAAAGGGCCCGAAACGTCGGTTTTTTTGAAAAAACAAATATACGCGATTTAAATCCGGAAAAATAATTTCATTTCCTATTATACAAGAGATTTACGTTTGCCGCCACAGAGAACACTATTATCGTACAGCGAAAAATAGGCTTTTCACTCTTAAAAATTTCGAGAAACGCGAAAGTCAGAACGGCGGGTGTATCCCAACACGTTCGCTGTGTTACTACAAATCAGAAATTGACTCCCACGTGCATTTTTTTTATTTTGCAAATATGTTGAAATTGGTATATATTAATACATTTATGGATGAAAAAATTATTTCCAAAAACCCCCTTCCCATTTCTCAATTTTCCCAAGCGCCGCATATGTGATACACGCACGTATGAGTTTTTTACTTGGTGCCACATATATGGTGCATGCACGTACTAGTTCTTTTTTTTGGGTTTTATTTTCTGTTATAACCTGGTCACATTGGTTAAAATGTCATCCGGTAGCACATGTTAATTGTCACAATTTTAATGGTCCATACATGCAAGTAAATAAAGATGATCTAGCCTACACGTGCAAACTCTGTTTAACCTTTCAATTTATAAAGGACCACGCCTCGTATGTGGTGCACTCACGTATCGTTTATGATGCATGCACAACAGGGAACGTGTTATTAAAATCCAGTTGAATTTCGCACCTAATAAATGTACCAAAAATTTACTATTTAGTACCTATGCTTAAGAAAATTCTACCTCTATCAGAAAGAAGTTATGCCAATGTCAAATGTACACCATAGATATCAAAATGGAAAGTGTACCTCAAGTTACCAGTTTTTATATTAATTATAAAAACTTATTATTCCAAAGAATTACCTTATTAGTACCCTAAATAAAAAAAAACGCCAACTCGACCTGTTGACTAGTTTCTGAGAAATAAAATTAAAACGTTGAGAGTCAGAATAGCGGGTCTATAAACGTATCGAGTCAAATTTCATACCAAATGAATGTAGTCACCTGAAATTGTAAGTCATTAATAAAAAAAGTCTGAAATTAAGAATGCTTTTCAAGCATATAGTCAAGTTTCGAAATTTGCAAAAAACCATATTTTTTCGTCTTATATAAAAAAATATCAGAAAGCATAAACTTTATACTATTTGTAATTAACCGTTTTTAATCGATTTGAAAAAAAGAGGAGGTTCACAATGCGACTGTATTTTTTTACTTTTTTATTCTTTGTGTATGTTACACTATGCCTCCGACATTTGTTAACCAATTTCGATGATTATTGTTTATTGCAAGGAAGATACCTCAGTTGTGGTCCTATATCCTATCTCTAGGGGTGTCAAACAACTTTCCTTTAACCGATTTCAATAAAACTTGGTAAATAGATGTAATACCACAAACTTTTGAGGACGTTTTTTTTTTATAAAAAGATTATAATTGTTCTCTATTGTTGCAGCCTTCGGCTACGGCCACCCGGGCGCATTCAGTCCGTTCTTACTCAACCCCGGCTGGCTGGACGCAGCCTACCTCAACTACGCTTGGGCTGATTATTTCAGGCCACCGCAGGGAGCTACTCTGATGAAAGGTATTTAATTCGTTAATAATCGCAATTAATAAGTTTATTTAATTCTTTACCAATTAATTTGGGTACAAAATTAAAACCGCGGAAGTAAACCGTAAAGGAGTAACTTTATATATACTTTCATGATTCTCAGAATCACTATACATCGATAATATAAACCGTATATCAGTCACTACCCTTTGAATAAAATTGAAGTACAAAAAAATGTAAAAAATGTGAGTTATTGAGCACTTAATCGTATAAGGCAATACCAAAAGTACCTGACACGGAACAATGAGATGAAAATGTTTGATTAAGCCTCACAATGCTCTTTTAAAAGTGCATCAAATGTATTCTTCGGAATTTGCTAATTTAAAAATTCCGGCTCAACACTCCAAACACGTTGTTCGGAGCTCGCCTCTCAAGGCCGTACAGCGCCAAAGCGGCTCTAATAAAAGGAGCAACTCTTGAGCGCTGCAAAACAACATTGTCCGACCGAAGCATAACCACCCGCTGAAGTCCTCCGTCCACCATCCAGCGGGGGCAGTGGGGGCCACAAAACGGACAAAAAGCACCACCTTCACGTTCGAGAGAGTGTAGAGTCAATTTTATTCCAATGTAGCCGACCGCGCCACCGACCACTTTTTGTTTCCGTTCCTGAAACATGAGGAAAAATGTACTCATATTGAGTTTTATTTACATCTACTTCCCGTGAAGATATTTTTATTTATGATAACAAATCGTATAAATAATGTCTGTATATATAAAAATAAAATTGAATAGTTCATGAATCACACAAGATGTTTTCATAGTACTTATTCTACATAATAATAAACAATGTTTTTCTAAATAACATATAAACATGATCTATGTATATGTACTTGAAATAAATGCAATGTGACTGTATGCGGTATTATCACGGGACAAGCGCTAATTAAAAATTACATCCAAAGTAGAACAGAATCAAATTCAACGGTTGGGAATCACCTCAATCAGGCGCGACGCCGATATTGGCCCCCACCTCACCAATTTACCCCCTAGTTACGCCCCTCCCACACTCGCTGCCTTTTAAAGTGGTCTGCGTACCAGTGCCACCACTGTTGCAAACAGAAAAAGTGCAAAAGAGGAACGAGAGTTGCGCCACCTCCGAGCTCTTTGTGGCCCAATCTGCACCTTCATCGTGTCCTTTTTATGCGCCAGCTTCTCTTACACGCTATCGAGAATCAAAGCTCGCACGGGCACAAGAACTTTTTGAACATAGCTGCTAATGAAAATTTTACGTTTCGAGCTCTCTTTGTCCGCCCTCCATGGAGATAGCGCTTTCTAATCGCGATGAAGCTAGCTTTGTGGCACACACGTGTCCGCTGCAGCACATATACGCGTGTCTTGCATCGTTAATGGACCGCGCTCGTCCCACCGCGACGCGCTCCCGGCATAAAGGAGAAGTATCGTGCCGAATTACGCCGGAATGTCGTGTCTGCATCGTAAAGAACGACGTCGCGTTTGGATAAATAAATATTGCACCCTCGCCCTCCCAATATCGAACTAAAAAAACATCCCTTTCGGTGAAGCCGCCTTTAAACGCCTACAGATTGTACATTATCCTTAGTACGATTATGCACCCTCGTTGTTCGGGGAATCAGCAGAGTACCCTTGCGCCCTTTGCTGTCCCCTGAGGCTCGTCTCTCATATTACGTCATGTTGCAAAATCCGAGAACAGGTCTTGCAGTAGCAAAGAGCATAATGCTATAACCCGTGCATCTTACGTATTTTTTATTTGCCAACAGGTGGAGCAGTGCCCATGACATCCCCTCCAGTTGGATTGCCAGGATCTGAACTATTCCCGTTCCCACCGGCAATAACAAATCTGCCACCTAACGGTTTGATCCCACCACCAGGCACTTTCCTGCCGCCGAATGGACTTTTGTCATTTCCACCGCATCCTGCTGAATTGGCGTTGAAATCATTACCACCAGAATTATCCTTGAAGAACGGTATATCGCCATATGATGCTTTGAGACATTTACAAAGCAATGTGTCGTCAATGGATACGTCAAGTGCGCGTTTATCTCCGACGAGCAGCAGGCAAAGCGGCAGTCCGAGAAGTATAATCAACGGTAGTCCCGAAAGATCGAAGGCTGATTCCAAATCTGAAGCGAATTCAACCCACGAAGTGACAAACTCCGATGAATCAGACGAGGAGCCTATTGAAGTGGTTAAGTCTGCGTTCCATCCGACACGACCAGCAAATGTAGAGCTACAAGAAATGAAGCGAGTGCAGGCAGCAGACTCGACTGTGGCCGATCGGCCTAGGCATCGCAACGAACTAAAAGCACCCTCACAACGAACCACTCGTGTTCTGTCAACAAGCCCTACTTCAACGAAAATCACACACGGAGCGATACCAACGCAAAAATCCGTATGGCGACCGTACTGACTTTATAAGTGAGAAAATAGTGAATAATTGGAAACCTGTCTTCGCTGACGAAGACGTTAAAATGTGATAAACCAATGAGCTTGTAAATATTATAGGTATTATAAAATACATTGATTTATGAAAGATATTTATTGTTAGAATTATATGTAGAAATTTAGGATCCAGATGAAGTAATGTCTTGTCAAATTGTAAATGTTAATAATTGCTATTAATAAATAGATTACTATGTTGTTTTTATTGCAGATGTGTTCAAGCTTATCAATATGAAAGGAATTAATTGAAAACTTATTAATAACATTACATTTAATATTGTAGTAGCTGAAAGTACATGTAAAATATGTTTACAACAATTTTAAGCTTGTATAAATAATTCCAAAACGACTGATCAAGGAATAAAATGGGTTCAACCAAGACTCGTTTTAACATTGTAAATAATGTAAAAGATATTTATTAAAGACTTTACTGTAAAGATTTGCCCGCAGGCAACGAATATTATCTTGTAAATATGTATTTACTTAGAGTTATCGAAATAAAAGATAATGTTTTGAAAATTAAAACGATGTCTTTTCTGATACCTATTCAAGAAGAAGCCTACCTAAATCGAAAGAAGCTAGTTTTTTGCGGTATATAAGCCGCTAAACCGACAATTACTCCATGTAATGGTAAGTATAATAAATGCTGAATTTAAAAAAAACCTAATCAGACTAAAAAAAGCTTTTCTAATGGAATAAAAATAAAACAACTAAATCTGGCGTAGTAAACTTCATAAGTGTCGCTACAAACGTAGTAGACAGAATTGCGAACCCGGTTTTCCGACGATTCACCGTATGGGTAGGCGAGGTACGCTTTCAATTGTGTTTACACGCGAGTTGATCGGGTTAGCTGATTGCAGCTAGCGTACGTCGGCTCGACATCAGCACACTTTTCGATCAAGCATTTGCTTATGTTGATGATTTACATTTGAAACATTTAGAACGTCATTGATTTCTACCTAGCCACCAGAAAATTACTAATGAGAAGAAGCGGAGAACGACACATGTGTAATGGTAATGTTCATTTTTAGGTTCTTTTAATAATAATAATAATAATTAAATAGTTTATTAGTTTAAATAACAAATGGCTTACAAAATAAAGCCCGCCAAACTGCAATACAGTTTGTTGGCAGGGACACACTCTCATTAAATAATATGCCTCGACCCACTCATCATACACACACATCCGCATCCACTTATCGTACACACACACCACACATACTCATAAATACTAAACTACATACTGTTTAACCATTTGAGACTTGTAGCAACAATGTCTCCTTCACTTTCTTTTTAAACATCAGCTTCGATACATTACTTTCATCTATACTCAAATCATTATAGATGACCGGTACAAGATATTCCTTTGTTCTTTGACCGTAATAATTTATAATCCTAGGTACAATATACTTTTTATCAATAACAGCTCTAGTGGTATAAGAATGTTCATAATATTTTTTAAAATCATCCGTTCTGTACTCCTCCACTGCTATTAATAACTTGACCCTTTCATGAACCGGCAGCACCCTACACTTCGAGAACAATTCCACATAGTTTTTGTGACATTTTTCCTTTACATCCTTGTCAACCAACAATTTTAAAAACCTTATTTGCAGTTGCTTAATTTGGTCTAAATAAGATGTAAATGTGCGCCCATAACTACTAAGACAGTACGAGATAATAGAATCGGCTAGCGCATAATACACCATGTATAAAGTAGCCTTATCTACAATAAACTTAAGCTGAAAACATCTATTTAAAGATAGTCTAAGTTTCGAACATACATTTTCGACATGCAACTTCCATGAAAAATTATCATCAACTGTTAACCCCAAATATTTAAATTTATCCACTAATTCTATTTTGTTACAATTACAACTTATTTTTTTCTTGTGAAGACAATCATAAGAATGACCCAACACTGTAGGACTGTCAGAATATACTTTGCTATGGGGAGAATATACATGCATACATTTTGTTTTGCTATGATTTATAATTATACCATTATCATGAGACCATTTAACAATACTATCGAAATCTTCCTGAATCTTATATTCGATGTTTTTTAAATTGTTGTCAGCGTACACTAAACAGGTGTCGTCCGCATACATGTAAACCTTACAATGCTTAACTACATTACAAATAGAATTAACGTGCATGCTATACCCTATCGGTCCGTATACTGAACCAGTCGGCACACCATAGGTAATGTTAAATTTTTTACCAGTTTGCCCCTCTATAAGAGTCTGTAGCGTCCTGTCTTGTAAGTACGCTCGGAACCAATTGCTAAGCGGGCCACGAACACCACATTCGTTCATAGCTCGAAGCAGCTGACTATGTTCTAAAGTATCGAATGCCTGTTTGAAATCTATGAAAATGACTATCAATTGCTTCCGGTCATTTAGGCTTTGATTAACATAATCAGTGAAACCTGTCAGTGCAGTTGCAGTACTACGGCCTCTTCGAAAACCATGCTGAGAATCTAAAATTACGTTATTAGACTCTAAAAAGTTTGTCACTTGATTCATAATAATTTTTTCGACTATTTTATTGATTACCGATAATATTGCTATTGGCCTATAATTTGCATAATCGAAAGCAAGTGACGGGACGAACAGTCGTACAGCTGCATTGCCAATTAGGACCTCAAATCGCAAAGATTGATGGGCACAGCCACTGCCCCCGTCAACTTGAGACGCACAACGCACACGCACACACTCAACATAAGCAAATGAGACATAAGTTAAAAGTCCTATGTATGGCACTATTTCCCTAGAAGACTCTTTCACAAGGTGCTGTACTGCTACTTAACTTTCTGAAGGGCATTTAGCAGTTGCCTTATCTGCTTTGACTACACCACCGAGCAAAAGGTCGAGATGAAGAATCTTAATTTGTATAATAAATGCAGTGGATGTGAAGGCTCACAGCTACGCCTAGATATATGTATAGTTGAGAATCTGCACGAGTGTGTACTCGTACTTCGTACTCGTTAAACTGGGAGATCTTTATCCTCGCAAACCAAGAAGGCGATTTCGTGAACAGCATTGCTCATAAAAGCTTATGTTCGAATATGTACAATAACCTCTCACTTAGTAACACTGTTAACAAATACGTAGACAAAATATCAAGTAAAATCAAAGATTAAAAAAAGAGTTTTTAGCCTTTGCTAAAAATAAAATAAGCAAGTCAGAAAATGAGTGTACTGTGGAAGTAAACATATAATGTTGCTATGTACAGATGTCAACAAATCAAGCTACACATTGACGTATCTCGTTCTGTTGCACTGGAGGTGATATCTGTACGTCATTATTCTCAGCTACAAGTTACTATTAGTTATAGTTGATCGTACCGTCTGCCCGAATGATTTTTTCAACTTTTGGATATTTTTATCTTGGTTGTGTATGTTTTTTATGATATCAAATGATGTGCGCCTGATGGTAAGACATGCCCAAAAAACAATTGCATTACCACTCAAAGCTTTAAAAGAAAGTTGACAAGCCCCAAGCGCCTGTACTTTGGTCACCCTTCAAAACCGGAACGTTGAATGACATTACTGCTTCATGGCACAAACTTTTTCATAAAGTGCTCTACAAGTACTAAAATCTGCGTTTGTATTATGTAAATGCTATACATAGAAACTGTCATTGAAATGTACGTTTTCGCGTCAGGTATAATCAATTACATCAACTCCCTAGTTTATTTGGTTAGCTGATTGCAATCCGGCTGGCCGCCGCGCGGTCACTCGGAACGCTAACCGCGACTAGAGCAGACATTTTCTTATTTTCATTCAACAGTTTTTCTATAAGCAATTAAGGATGCAACTGTGAGTTAAACATCTCTATATTGTGGTATATTCTTTATTTACCTAGGTTAAATTTATCAAGCTCACACACATACATAATACGTTTTTTTAAATCATTCAAATTTAAGAAAATCCCATAATAAATGTAATTCTAATTTCTGTTATTAAGTTGATAAAAAAGCGAAACCTCAGCGTAGTGATGTTTTTAAGTCTCCGTCTGTGTTCTCTGCCGGACATTGTCGGGACATAAAGACGCTGAAAACGTAAAACGTCTAATTTAGAAAATATTACAAGAGAGTGATTTAAAGTAATTTTATTTTAACACGTTTATCGCCGTTATTGGTCAAAGTGACCACCATTTCTTCTACCTATTGGGGCCGTGGGGGGTTAAAATGACAGGCACGACGCACCTAACTCTGCAATGCTCGTTCACGCCGCAGGTGGCAAACGCTACGTATTTAGCCATATAACATGACCGGTGTGACCCTGACGGACTGCTGTTGCCAGTTGGTTTTTAAGATTTTTGATGGCATACGTACTTTTCTAGACTAAGAGGAAAAAATATATATATTTCGAATAAAAAAAATTACTTTCATTTCATATTGGATTTAAAAGCCACAAAGTAGGCAAAAAATGATAGATTTGAACTCAAATGAGAAACGTACGCCAGTTTTAGATAAACATCGATCGAACATTAACGTGTACATACTCTGCCCGGCATTGCGACCGGCGCGGTCTAAGCGTAATAATTATTGCGTTTGATTAAAATGCCCGGCACTAAATATACTCCCAAACTAGAGCCAAATAATGAAATTAAAAAAAAATATACAACGGTATACGCATGAGACCAAAAACAGTTATGAAAACCATTGTTATATTATGAACATTTTTGAAAATTCTAGTCAGCGACGAACGTGTTAAGGAGAAAAAATCGCAACTCTAAATTTATCCATATAAAAGATAAAAAATGCTCAACATTTTGTTATTCTCTATAGGTATATGTTTATATCAATGTGCACTAATTTATGTTCTGTTGATGTTATGAAATGTTTGTTTCTGCTTGTATTTGTGCTGAATAAACGTCTTATCTATCTATATCTCGAAAGTTACCGAAATGCAAAAATTTTTAGTAACAGTAGAGCTCGTTGTGAAAGAGTTCGTCCGGGGAAGAACTGCCATCTTATCTATTTCTGCCGCCAAGCAGTAATGAGAGCAACGTTCCGGTTTTGAAGGTTAAGGGTGCTGGTGAAATTACAGACACAAAAAAAATGCTATAATTATTACAAGTGAAATAATTTTCATTAATATTAATAGTGGATTTGCAAGAAAGGTCTATTTTCTCAGTAGATTTCAACGTTTACTGTTAAAGCGAGGTATTTTAAAGTGCGC